AACGAATAACACATGTATCACAATAAATAAACAATGCAACGAAACGTAAAGCCAAGTAATTGTATATATGTAAAAGCAGTCTAGTGTACTCTGGGATAGGTCTTCTTATGGTGTAAAAGTCTACGTTTAGTAAATAAAGAAACACCTGAGACTGATAATCGTTTTTCCTTCAGGTTGCACTCCACAGATTTCACAAAATTACACAGCTTACTAGTTTACCAGATTTATTTTAAACAGCAGATAAAAGGAATTTTGGCCCATTAAAAAGCCCGAGAATATCTCTGGAACACATGTCATACATCAAATCAGTGGTTGATCTCTTCGAGTTATGTCTTCATGCATTTCTTGACCTGAGTATAGTGATCTGTGACCAGATTAAATACATTAATGTCCTCTTCCCGAATTAACATAAGTCCTCGTGTCAAACCGTCCAGCTCCATGGCATATGAATTATTAGCCTCGTTGGAATGATTCATTGCAATCATCGTTAGTATGTATTCCACATGATGTTCATCTTTTTGGAGTGGAAACTGCATAATAATGGGACCCTTTTAATTTCTTATTCTTTAAAAAGAATCCCCCTACCGGTTAAAATCCAGCTTGTGAACTAACAAAATCGCATCGAACGTAGCCAAAATTCTAATTTTCCTACAATTAAACACAAAGAGACTTTTAAATACCTGATTTTGCCTTTCTCCTACACAAATGTTGAGGTAAATCTGACCGACTATCTGTGAACGTTTAAGTCAAGTCTGTTCATCAACAAAAATGCATCAAAGAATAACCATAATTAGCATTTTCCTACAACTAAAATCAAATTGAGATTTAAGTACCCAAATTTGCCTTTTTCTATGTAAATGCGAGGATAATCAGGCTGGCTAAACATTTTTAATTTATTCTCAAATATCTGAAACACGCTTTTGCTTAATTTTTAAAACCAACCAACCATTCTGAGCGCATAGTTTTGCTTCGAATAAAGTGATATTGATACAGAGCTAGAATCTGACATGTATAAATACGTAAACGAAATTGAAGCATGCCAACATATGCATTCCTTTATTCTACTTTAAATAATATATGATCCTAGTTTTACAATCTCGGGATTCACTTTTATTTTTTATATTCACACTCTGCAAACTACGAAGCTGTGCAATGGAACCTCAGTGTCTTCAGAAGCAACATTAATGTTTTTAGTGTCAATGGCTTTAGAAACACCGTTAATATACACTCTACAAGTGATGCCACTGCCCATTAAAATGACATTTTCAATTTCATTCGGGTTGTAATGTAACATCTCGCAAATGGAATAACAGCAAGCCAGTGTCGGCGATGTTGGACTAATAATGATGTGGTACATATAAATGTGCCATCCTTGTGCATAAAATATCATGGAATAATAGTTTGGCTTCTCTCGGGATTCTTCCTCACTATTAATAATGGAATCCATTCAATTATGGATTAATAAACAAAGTGCAAACCTCACTTATGTGACACATGGAAGACAAAATACACTTACTAATGATATTTTAGTTAGAGATTTCGCATCCGAGTAAGAGGTTTAAAATCACATGCCACAAATATCGTATTAAATACTGTAAAGTTACCTCTATGACAAAGTATTATTAGCTTAAAATCAAATATTTTTGCTACAACCTTTTTGAAACAGCATTTATTAAGAACGGATTGGTAAAATGTGGCCCCTTTATTAGTTAACAAATACCTGCAATCAGAAACAAAATTACCTTCAAGGTATGTATTTAGCTATCAAACCTAGTAGCAGGTGTAACAGACCTTTTGTTGACACAAACACTTTCATGAAATAGTGGGCGCAGATTTGAACTTTCTCAAATGATAGGTAGATACTTTGGATTTAAACACATTATATGAGTACCTTAGGGTTGCATGGTTAAACAGATTATTATAACAAACATATGCTATACTTGTTTCTTGGTAAAAGCAATAATTTCTAGCCAGGTAGAGTTTACTCTTTCATCACTATGGAAACATTTGTCAGGATAATTTAACTTACAATTAAAACATAACATAATATGGATGCACACCTAATGCATGACATGATCTGACTAGATGTTTTGTCATATTTCATATTGTACTTGAATTTTCATGGTGAACCGTTTTTACAATTATTGCCCTCTACGCCAAATCGGAAAGGTAAGAACCTCAGTTGCTATTTCATTAAATCCAATGGATTCCGTTAGTGATTTTTAACTTTCTAAATATGTATTTCCTGTGGCATACAGGTGACAGAGCCATTGATCAATAAAAGTTTTAAGGCAAATTCCAGAAAATCAACATTTGGAAATGCGAAAATGGGATATTTTAAAGAAACCACATGAGAAGAGGATTCTAAAGATAATAAGGAATTGCTACTTTATGTTTGGGTATAATAATAAAGGAATTCAGAATAATATCAGTGCCACGACAAATGTTATTTATACTTAGCTTCAATTGGATAAAAATGTCATTTTTGGTCCCATAATAAGATGAACAAGCTGAAAGATATGCTTCACTTTCGAACAAAATTTATGTTCTATTACATGAGAGCAACTTTTGCATATTGCTATTTGCGCCGTATCAATACTTCCCTAAGTAGATGATTATGCTCCAGGAATTGTCATTCATATACAAATCACACTTCCTTCTACAGTTATGCCTATTAACAGTTTCACTTACTAATTACCAAGCGTTATGTATATCTATTTTATGTGTGTTTATTTTAATGATTATTGTTTTTAATGGTCATTTACCAATTATCATATTAAAGACTTATATTCATTACGGTTAAACTTTGAGATGTCGTTATTTAAAACAGTGTGTAGTTTCAAGATAGTGAGCTGTACATTTAGTCCAAGTAAACATTGCGTGTTTTAACTTCAGGAAATGAGTTATTGAAAAACAATGCTGACATAAGCTCTATATTGGCTAGTGATTAAATTACTGGACGTTGTTTACAAGTTTTATTGTTCTTGAATAAATAATTGATTCGTGTTCTGGTTTGGAAACTGCGTATTAATATTTATATTATGGAGGATTTACTGGAAATTAGCTATTCCTATCATAAATATCAGTATATATATATATATATATATATATATATATATATATATATATATATATATATATATATATATATATATATATATATATATATATATATATATATATATATATATATAAATCATTTGAGATGACTCTATTTCTTTATTTCAATTATTCCTTGGAATTAAAAAGTGCTAGGATTTTAGGATTTAGTAGCCGTAGTGGAATTACTGTGATTTCGTTTAACACATTTTGCATTATATTATTGTGATACATCAAGACAATTGGCACATCAACACAATAGAGTGAACTTCTTTCGGAATACCACTGGAACTCATATGGATTACTCCATACTTTTGGACTCGTAATAAAATATTTATGACTATTTAGAATTTAATTCGCCATAAAGTTATTTTAAATCTTTAGATTTATATGTCTGAAAGATTACTTTGTATTTTAAATCTTATAAAATTCGTGGGCTTGCGGTCTCTATTGTTTTATAGTGTAAGACCACATATTTGTAATACAAGCAATACAAGGAATATCAATATAGTAAAATATTCGTGTAAAAAGCAGTCACTAATTTTAATCTAATAATAATGTTAAGGTTATAAAAACTAATATTTTATTTTTTCCTGTGTCACTAGAATAAAAAAATCTCAATGTCTCTTGCGTTTCTGAAGCGAAATTAAGACGTGCCTAAAATGCAATTAGATTCCTGGATGTATTAGTTATATGGAAACACTACTTCTTTCCGTAAAATAAAAAAACAACAAGAAGAAACAGAAATTGTTTAAAATGCCTCATGTGGCTAATACAAATCGTAATTCAGGAAGATGAGGATCTAGAAATAAACCAGCCAGCTAATTATTCATTGGTCACTGCATTTTCTCGTGTCAAGTTAGTGCAATAATGATTTTCACATTAGTTTAAAGATGCATGATTTGTTTAACACAAATTTTTGAGCAGAAGAGTGATCCCTTTATATAGCATTTGCATTCACTCTTACAATCTGAAAGAGTTTCGACTAGAGTACAAACAAATTCAATACATCTACTCTTTATGTATTATGTCCCATTTTACGTTAACTTCAGTCCAGAAGAAAGAACACGTGTGCTAAGTTCACTTCACTCTAACTGAATGAGAACAAAGGCGATTATAATTACATTTTTATTTCTAGTCCTACACTTGCTATTTGACGTTGTTAGCATTTGGCATAGTTTAATGACTGTAAGAATGATAGAGACATAAAATTCATTCCAGTTCGGGAATCATAACACTATATACATAGCAAATATAATAACTTCCAAGTGTGAGAAGAGACAGCAGGACACGTTTCTTGAGAGTCTTTTTTTATATGTATTTCATAAAGAATGTATATCATGTGACGTGTTTGCAATGCAGTCCTTTTAAATTAAGGTATCTAAATAACTAACAAGAAAAAATATTTTCAAAAGTTCTGTTTTGTCCCAAATTGTGTCGGCAAGAAGACTTTTGAAACTTTGAATTTGTTATTGGAATGATCTATTTGACCTATTTGTCTATCTTTCTCTAACCTTTCTGTTCCCTCGTTTGACCTATGTTAAACTCATAGACATAACTAACAATGCTATACCAAAAATATACCGAACCAGAGCAGTCTAAACCAATGATTTCTTTTAAGAAGGCAATTTGGGTCCAGATTTCGTGCATGGACTTCCAAAAAACTTTTTCAGGATTAGCTTTGATTCAGTTCATATATTGTACTGTAAATTCCTCTTAAAGTTTCATTTTACAATGTTGATAATTGTGTGTGTCTGTGTGTGTGTATGTTTGGATTGTTAGCGTCGCTTTAAAAATGTTTCTATGTCTGCAGTGTGACTGTTTATAGTGATGTGAACTGAGGCATGATGCTGAGTGCCAAGCGATGTAGCTGCTATTACCATTTTAATAAGTCTTTGATATGACTCGGCCGGTGTTTAAACCCGTGACTTCCCGCATCCTAGGCGGACGTTCTAACCACTAAGGCCACCAGTGCGATCCATTGATAATTGCATTGTTTGCTAAGTTTTGCAAGGCTGGTTGGCTATGCTTCTTTCTGTTACTTATTGTATGAGAGTGTGATCGTAAAATACTCCATTTAATTTAAGAAAACAAATTCAAGAATGAAAGGATAGTAATTAAATAAATCTTATAAAACAGTGTACTAGAGATAACCTATTATGGAGTACTTCACGCATTGTCGTAACTTAAATTTGTCCACTTTGCGTATCTAGTAAATCATTATATTTATGATGTTACATTTTATTTTATTTCTTTAAATTAAAACATCAAGTAGTTACTAGTTGATATATCTTCATCTCCAATTTTTATTAAAGATAAAATAACGATTTATTGTTTATACGTGGACACTGTCGCATGTATAGGTCAGATTTATCGCCATCTGATGCAGACATCGATATAGAATATAGTCGAATAGTATGCCTATTTATCGTTAAAAAGGACAAGTGAAATATGTATTTTAAATACCTCCTGCCTCCCCCTCCCCGAACTCTCAAAAACTACAAAAAATTCAAGATTACTATAAAGTTTGAACATTATCCACAATATCAAATAACTTTGCAAGAAAGCTTTCTCCCTTTGATTATATTTCTTATGTTACATTTCCTCATCCTTCTCTTAACAAAAATACAAAATATATTAGTAGTCTTCCGCAAGAGAAAATTACAGAACGATGTCCACGTCTTGAAACCTTTCATCAGCATGTGGCCAATATATACTGTGTTGTTTGTTCATCTACCTCAGGAGTGGGAGTGCTAACAGCTACTTGACGCTCAGCATTAAGAGGTTTGTGTTAGGACTGGTCGGCCTGGTGTCAGTGTGACATCATGCTACATGTCCGCGGCATTATACACCAGAGCTAGAAATCCCTATAAATTGCCACACTGCGTACATCGTAGCGGTATGACTGAAAAATTGATAAAAGCTACGTTAAAAATCATAATCGCATGACATCCAGGGTGTGCAAAATATGGCCTGTAATCTGGTTGTATTCGTTAATTTACGTCATTCTGTTTGGCTTTAAAATTTGCTTACCCGACCCGAACTTTTGAGGAAGTTGCCCATGCTTGATCAGAAACAATCTTCTTGGTATTTAAAAGGAAAAATGTGCAAACTAGCTTATTATTCCAGTCTTTTTTCAGTGAATGAGAATCCTTAATCGCTTAAAGCTTGTACAACGAATAACCGGATATTGTTGGTTATTTCTATAATTAGTAAAGAATTAATGTTTGTGATAATTATATTATAATTTTCACGTTACGCAGCCTCCAATACTTGACAAATGGTATGTAGTTTATCTTGATTAATTATTGCTACTGAAAGCGTATGAAAGCCTCTATAATATAGATTCCTATTTGAGTATATAATAAGTTACTTCCTTTCTGTGAAAGAATCGTCCCCTCCCCCGCCTCAAACCCGGTATGCATCTTAATATAGACTATGTTACCTCCTTTCTGTCAATAATCGCCACGTCCCCGCCCCCAACTAAGGTAGGTATCTTAATATAGAGTATGTAACTGCATCAACACTTTTAGTAATTGAAACTGAAAATAATTAAGTATACGTTTTATCTAAACATAACTCTTATTATCGTCACAGCAATAAGACTTTGTACGTTTTTACTATGCATTATTATTAAAATATCTACTGTGAGAAGGTATAGACAGACAGACAGACAGACAGACAGACAGACAGGTAATAAACCTATATGTTGCTAAAGGAGTCAATCTAGATCATCAATTACTTTGTACCGGAGTCAGTTTAGTTCATAAAGTTATTTTTGCCAGAACATTGATCAAGTTGCGTGATATTTAATATGCAAAATAGATGAGTAGATAATATGCCGGAAGAAAACAGCGATAACTGATCTACTAATGCAACATATATAATTCGACAAATGCTGTCTTGGCATGCAAAATATGAATAGTTCTGACAATTAAACCTTTAAAGATAACATGTTGATTGTTTTGCAAGGCTTCAGATAAGAAAGGTGAACCATGTGGGCTGCAAAGATTTCGCCAAAACTGCAAAATAAAATATGAGACAAAATTGCAATGCAAGAAAATATATACGTCTACAGTTCAGAAATTATCATCAATTATTAGGTATTAAAGTCTGTGGATGTATTTTTGTATCTGTACTAAGAATTCCTATTTGGCAGTTTCCCCCTCCCCCCATTTAGCTTGCCATTCAGATTTATGTATACCAAACCAAACGGAAAGTTCTGGATCCTACAGGAGGATGCGTGATGATGTAAAGTGAAGTTGTAAATGGAGAAACAATAGTCATGAAAATTCAAGCTTTCTGAATTCCTCCCATTTTGAGAATCGAACTCTTGTTTCGATGGTTACTAGCTCCGTCGCCTTACCTGCACACGCTAACCCCCAAGTATCCATGCCCATAAGGGATTGAAAAAAAGCTTTCGTGCAAAGCAGACACATTTGTATGGCGACCCAAAGAGTGACTCTCATTTTCATAGTCTCGTTGAATTTCTTTGACAGATATCAAAGTATTTGGAAACTCCTAAAAGTTAAAGATATATACCATATTGAATAGAATGTACTATCCCTGGAGACTAGATTAGGTTCGTGGTAATATGAAGTGAAAATATATATGAAGAAAGAATACTTTCATAAGGTGAGGAACGTTTTAATTCGTCTCCCACTGATAATGGAAAAAGCCATTGAAACGCATACAGTGATACTCCTTGTTTTAATTTTTTTTTCCTTAATGTCGCGAACATTAAATTTATGTTTGATACGCTTTACAAACAAGTATTGGGAATTACTATATTTTACTGGATATTGTTTCCTTGTTTTCAATTTTATCTTATACATATGGAAGTAACATGGCAATTATCGATTCTCGTGAAATCCCATCAAGTAATGGCCTAAGAGATCCATAGTATTTGTGATGTACAGTACACTATTTTCCTTAAAGTATAGACAGATAATGATTATGAAAGTTGTACATGTATCAGATATTTTAGTGGTAAGTTCTGGTAATTCTGTCTTTTGTTCTCCATAAACCCAACTGTAGGACACGACTAGGAAATAAAAGCTAGACCAGAAATCTCTGTATTCCCCTTTACATTGTTCTGTTTGATTTTTTTTCTTTTCTCATGGACACACTGACCATGTTCCTCAGCTATCACCCCGTTTTATCTATGGACCTCTGTTTTACTTCAGGCAAGAAACGTTCTCATTCATATGGTTGGATGTGTTTGTATCTGGAATTACATTCATATAAAACTCGACTAATCTTACATCAATGGAAGGGGATCCGAATGTGAATTCAAATCGAGTACTAATGACTTGGCGTCCTATGGACCGTACACATGCATCTTATTGAACTTCGTTTTCAGACAGTCTAAATTAACGGCATGCGATTAAAGTAAACTAAGCAAATTTAAAAGATTGGATCAGAGGCAAATCGTCTGTAAATTGTACCTATTTGTTTGTAAAGTGTTAATACAAATCGTGGAAGAGTTTGAGGGTTTTGTACTAACAATCTGCAGACCGGAAATAGTGTTTGGAAAATCTTTTTTTTCTGTTGCTATAGATCAATCAGTAAAGATATTATTGTCTCTTTTTAGTACCTACATATTTCACTCGTCAAGGCATATTGTTTTCCCCTTTCCTATTCATGTAACATGCTTTTTAGTACCTATATATTTCACTCGTCAAGGCATATTGTTTTCCCCTTTCCTATTCATGTAACATGCTTTTTAGTACCTATATATTTCACTCGTCAAGGCATATTGTTTTCCCCTTTCCTATTCATGTAACATGCAATTCACAAATAAGATACTCTGTTGAAAGGATCCAAAAAGATATGTTAGTGCAAAATTTAAAAAGTCGATGAATGTATGTTTAATCCACCTTTCATGGTGTACAGTTTTAGTATTTGTAGAAGGCTACCTCATTCTCAAAGAACACTATCAGCATTATGTAACAGTAAGTTATTTGGAATAACAAAGAGGTTTAGTTATAAATGGAAAGATATACGTTCAAATATACCTAATATTAAGTCTAACAACCCATAATTTGCAGATACATGAAATGAATCAAAATTAGTTAAAAATTGTGACATATTAAGGAAATCGGTACCAATCAAATTTATGTCTTTATATAACTATCTATAATGCTATCTTATTTAGCTTGAACTGGAAAAGGGATGATGTTTGGAACGATGGACCACATTACATAAAAACTATCACTCTGAATGAACAAGTTGCATTTATTTTATATGCGTTTTCCATTAAAACTAGTTTGTACATGAGATAAAATTTGGTTATTAATTTATGAAATAACAGAGCAAACTATATATATTCATTTTTTTTCATTATTTTAAGATATCCTAGTTTCCAGTTGAAATTCAATGACATACAAAGTTTACTTAATTAAGGTTAATGATATATATATATATATATATATATATATATATATATATATATATATATATATATATATATATATGAACAAATTGCTTGTGTGTAAGGTTCAAAATTCGTTTTATTTCATTTTTGTTTCTTTGTATTTAATTGCAATGAATATTTGTCTCGGATTCTGGCTTCTATTTTTAGTAGTGAGATATATTTTTAGCATAAAGTTTGTTTATTCAAGACGAAATAGTAATATGTGAGAATTATCATTGAGTCCGTCTTACCCTGTTAATAATATCAACAGAAAGTTAAAATGATTGGTCAGTATCACGGACATGCTTTCTTCGCGTGATCACTGTTTGAAAACAACCTTTTTTTTAGGTGGCGCTCACCAGTTATTATGTACTTTTGAGAGAATGATGTATGTAAGGTGAAGTTGTTTGCATTTTAAACATGCATAGTGGAGAGAATGTTGGCATACCTATATACTACTTTCATGTAATATGGCTGAAATTTCTTTGGATATTGTACTTTTGGAAATTTTAAATGATCTTTGGACACTGCTATCTAAAATGATTGCTCCCTTGTGCTCCAAAA